GGAAGTCTTCCAAAGGCTCAAAGCCTACTTGGCTACACCTCCCCTCCTTTCACATGTTACTCTAGGAGAAACTCTGTATTTATACCTTTCTGCTTCCCCATCGACAGTAAGCTCAGTCCTCGTGAGAAGCGATAATGGAGTGCAGAGGCCTATCTACTATGTGAGTAGAGCATACAGGGGGCAGAAGTCAGATATTTAGGGCTAGAAAAGTTAGCACTCGCCCTGATCTCAGAAGCAAGGTGCCTACGACACTACTTTCAAAGTCACAGCATCGTTATCGTTACAGACCAACCTCTAAAAAGACTTTTGGGAAAGCCAAACGTATCCAGGAGACTCCTTAAGTGGGCAGTGAAACTCGGCGAGTTTGATATCCAGTACCAACCAAGGGCATCCATCAAAGCACAAGCCCTGACAAATTTCATTATTGAGCTTACACCAGTAAAGGAAAGGAGCAACGAATCCTATACCTCGGCCAGCGAGGACACCCATACGCCTAACAAGGACTCTCAAGCACCCAAACTAGGCACTTAGGCCATCCCAGGTGCCCAGGTCTCCTCCGCAGGCACCCAAGTCTCCTCCATAGGCACCCAGGTCTCCCCCGCAGGCGCCCAGGTCTCCTCCTCAGGCGCCTAGCTCTCCCTCGCAGGCACCCGGCTCTCCTCTGCAGGCGCCCAACTCTCCTCCGCAAGTGCCCAACCTTCCTCTTCAAGCGCTCAAGCACTTTCAGGCGCCCAACCTAGCACCTAGGCTCTCTATCCTCGCTCCCAAGCTCCAACTTTAATTTTTGAGCCCTCTTCTTTACCACCCTAGAAGCTCTATGTAGATGACTCCTCGATCAGCGAGAGAGGAGGAACAGGCCTGATCTTGATCAGTCCTGACAGTACTTCCCTCAAGTATGCAGTAAAGCTCCACTTTACTGCTTCCAACAATGAGATAGAGTATGAAGCCCTCCTCTCTAGATTAAGATTGACAGCTGAAATGGAAGCTCAGCACCTCGCCACTTACAGTGATTCTCAGCTAATAGTTAATCAAGTAAATGGCGAGTTCGAAGCAAAATGTGGTAGAATGCAGGAATACCTTGGCATGGTGAAAAGCTTGATCACAAAGTTCTAATACTTCCAGATCTGTCACATCCCGAGAAGACAACATGGCCACAGATGCACTCGCCAGGCTCGTCTCATCCTTGGAAGCCCCACCAGGAGGACCATCATTCATCGATCACCAATTCGTGCCAAGCAAGTTAGACGTGGAAGCCATAAATGTCAACTGTGCATCCACTTAATCGAATTGGATGACCTCGATAAGGGCATACCTTCAGGAGGGTGTAATACCAAATGATCCTCTCGAGGCCAGGAAGCTTAGGATGAGAGCTTCCAAATTCACTATCTTATAAGACACCCTATACAAAAAAGGCTACTCCTTGTCATTGCTGCGGTGCCTTTCACCTGAGGAAGCTAACTACGCCCTACGAAGAATCCATGAAGGAGTTTGTGAGAATCACTCTAGAGGACGTTTCCTTCCTCACAAAGCACTCCGACAGGGTTACTTCTGACCTAACATGGTGAGAGATGCCCAAGAATTCGCTAAGAAGTGTGACAAGTGTCAGTGTTTTGCCATTGTGCCTAGGCTGCTGCCAGAGGAACTCACGATCATCACCAATATGTGGCCCTTCTCCAAGTGGGGCATCAATATCCTAGGCCCCCTACCTCTCAGTAGAGGACAGTGCAAGTTGGTGGTGGTAGCGGTCAACTACTTTACCAAGTGGGCAGAAGTCGAACCTTTAACGAAAATAACAAGTGGAAAGGTCAAAGATTTCATCTGGAAGAACCTGGTCTGCTGCTTCGAGATACCCCATGTCGTTGTAAGTGACAACGTCGAGCAGTTCAACAACAAACCCCTGAACTCTTTCTGCTCCGATCTTCAGATAAAGCAGCCTCATTCCAGCCCAACACACCCACAGGCAAACGGACAAGCAGAAGTCATGGTGAGAACGGTGCTGTGCAACCTAAAGATAAGGCTTGAAAAAGTGAAGGGTCTTTGGTTCCACGAGCTCCCAGGTGTATTTATGGGCATATCGAACCACGTCAAGAACTCTTACTGGAGAAACCCCTTTCTCCCTCGTCTTTGGAACTAAGGCGGTCATCCCCGTGGAGATAGGGGTACACTCTCTCAAGGTCTAACACCACGACCCTATTACCAACGAGAAAGGACTCTACATCAACCTCGACTTGGTGGAGGAGGCAAGGGAGATGGTTGTGGTCTGTAATACGGAATACAGAATACAAACGATGCATGGCGAGGTACTAGAACTCGAAGGTGAAGCCTCGTTCCTTCCAACCAGGAGACTTAATCCTCAAGAATGTGATCCTCGCCACAAAGTATTCACGTGAGGGAAATCTGAGACCAAATTGGGAAGGACCATGCCTCATAACAGAAATGATGAGGCCAGACACTTACAAGAACTAGAATTCTGAAGAGAATGTCTTACCCCATCCATGGAACGCGGATCACTTGAAGAGCATCATCAGAGCCTCCATTACCATCATCAGGTGCCTCAGTAGGCAAGAAACCTGAAACATCAATATCAGGAAAAGCAGCGGAGATCTTCCCTCGAAGCTCATCATAACCGTCGATGAAGGCATCTACAAGGCCATTCTCCAAGTCCCTCTCAGCTGTGACAGCCCTCTCCTCAGCCTACAAAGCTCTCTCATAAGCTGCTTTCACCACTACCTCCGCAACAACCTCTTTGAGTGAGGCCCTCTCGCGGGTCTTAGCAAGCTCAACCTCACTAAGCATGACCCTCTTATGGGCCTTCACAAGCTCAAACCCCCTTGAGCGCGTCCCTCCCACGAATCGCCGAAAACTCAGTTGCCCTCTCACGGGCCCTCTTAACCTCAACCTAAAGCTTGGTTGCCCCTTCATGAAACGCCAAAAGCTCAATCTCAAATTTGGTCGCTCTCTCATGGGTTGCCACAAGGTCAGCATCAGAAGCCGTCACAGTAGCTTCAAGCTCGATGATCCTTCCTTGAGTAGCTAGAAGCTCTCTCTGCATAACCTCATTATTCTGCTTCAATTGACCGTGAGATTGGGTCTTAGAAAACAAGCAAACAGATGCAGTCAAAACTTGGACAAGATAAAAAAAATAGAGAAAATGACAAAATACATAAGAAAGGACTAGAGAAAGGGAGATAGTAGACCCTTACTTGAGCCAAACCTTCCAAAAATGTGTTGATAATCCCCTCGGTGCCCAGGGTACTAATTTGAGTAACTTCAGGGGGGGGAAAAAACCTCTCAAGCCTTTCCCTGATAAGCAATGGATTGCCCAGCATGGGACCAACCCAAATCGACGCCCCTGTAGAAGTTCCCTCACGAGGAAGAGACGAATAAGGAGCAGAAGGTGCGGCCAACAAGGAAGGCTCTCGGGTAACAGTCACAACTGAAGGGATTGCTAGCTGAGGAGGCACCACTGGAGGGCTCACTTGATGGGAACACGCCCGAGGCTCCACTGAAAGGGTTGCTTGAGGAGAGTTCACCTCGAGCGACGCCGTTAGATAAATAACTTGGGGGCATCACCCATCCTCGCCACCTTGGAAGGAGGAGGGCTCCTACCAGAGAGGCGGGACCCAATAACTTCTCTATCCATCACTATAAAGAAAATAGAGTGTCAAAAAAGACACCGAGTAAAAAAAGAGGATACAAAAGAATCAACTCAGCCTTCCTCTTTGAAAAGGAGCCACTGGACTTCGGGGAGGGACCAACATGAGTCGAAGGGAAAGCACCGACTCCTCCATCCTTGAACATGAGAGCTCCAAAGTCTCTTATAGGATGAGCTCGTACAGCCTATAGTTTCCACTCCTAATCTTTGGTAGAGTAACCCATCGTGATGGTACCACTACCTTATCAACCTCTGAAGCCCACTTTCCATCGACGAATATAAAACTTTACTTCCAACTGTGGTAGTTGGAGGGAAGTCCGTGAATCAGCTTGCCTCCCCTCAGAGTGAAATAGTACCAGCCCCCAATGGAAGCAAGAGTCTCACTTGGGTAATAAGCCGCATGAAAAATTGATAGAAGAGGCATCCTTATGGTGTACCTTCCTCCACAATTCCAGAAAGGCCAGCAAAACCCTCCAACCATTGGGCGCCAACTGCCCAGGTGTTAGTGAAAAGTAATTCAAGATGTCACAAATGGAATGAGGCATTGGGAACCTGAGCCCAGCCTCAAGCGTCTCCTCATAAATGACAATATCACCAGATGAGTCATCACTAGCAGACTCACCCATCTCAGCCCGGCGGCACAACACAGTTGGAGGAATATAATAAGTAGAAATAATCTTCACAATATCGTCATCAGAATTGAGCAAACTAGAAAGACTACTTACTTTAGACTCATCGTTGTCAAGAACAGTTTTGGCTTTGTGCTTTTGGTAAGAAAGCGTGAAGAGTTGACTAAGCCACTAATGGAGAGGCCTGGAGGAATTTTATTTTGAGAAGTTACACTCAGATGAGCTGGACCATCACCGCTGAAAGTGTCTGGCATACTCTATCCCCGGACTCCAAAACCAGGCTCGCAAAGAAACTCTTGGGCCGCCCCACCTGCATAGGCTGAACTCCTCGAATCATCACCAAAAGTGGCACCCAAATGGAGCAGCCTAGAGTTTGGAGAGGTGCCTAACACCCTCTACTCGCCCGAATGGAGCAGCCCAGCGCTTGGAGAGGTATCTAACACCCTCTGCTCACCTAAATGGAGCAACCCAGTGCTTGGAGAGGTGCTTGACCCCCTCTGCTCGCCCAAATGGAGCAGCCCAGCGTTTGGAGAGGTGTCTGACCCCCTCTGCTCGCCCAAAGTCTCTTGGACAGCAAGAACAACCCATGTCTTCTCGTTATCTTGCTCATTTGAGCTGCCAGGATCAGCGCCAAATTGGGCACTCAGTACCCCCTCTTTACGCGCCTCAGCAACACCCAGCTTGCCTGGACCGAACAAATCAGCGCCTAGTGGCACCTATACAGCTCCCTGGTCTCCTAGATTCACCAGACCAGTGCCCAAAGGGGCGACCAACCCTTCACCATGCTCGCCCAAGCTGCTCGGCTGGTTGACCAACTCTCTCCACTGTTCCACTGTGTGGACAGCACTGCTGGACTGGACTGCACACCCATTTAGACTGTTGCCCAGCTCACCCAGGCTGTCCAGGACACCACTTACTCGTCCGTCATAGGGGCTGCTCGCCTAAAGGCCTGGGCTGCACAAGTGGTGGCCTGGGCAGCTCCCCTGCTGGCCTGCGCGCCCATCGAGCCACTGTCCAGCCCACCTCCCTGACTTTTGGCTTCTCCTTCTTCGTTGAGCAATGCTTGAGCCTCCTTATCTCCAATTTCTCCTTCGATCTCCGCCATTCCAATGGAGTTTTGCATATCTCCCTCCTCAATCGACATTGCCCACTTNCGTTGTCAAGAACAGTTTTGGCTTTGTGCTTTTGGTAAGAAAGCGTGAAGAGTTGACTAAGCCACTAATGGAGAGGCCTGGAGGAATTTTATTTTGAGAAGTTACACTCAGATGAGCTGGACCATCACCGCTGAAAGTGTCTGGCATACTCTATCCCCGGACTCCAAAACCAGGCTCGCAAAGAAACTCTTGGGCCGCCCCACCTGCATAGGCTGAACTCCTCGAATCATCACCAAAAGTGGCACCCAAATGGAGCAGCCTAGAGTTTGGAGAGGTGCCTAACACCCTCTACTCGCCCGAATGGAGCAGCCCAGCGCTTGGAGAGGTATCTAACACCCTCTGCTCACCTAAATGGAGCAACCCAGTGCTTGGAGAGGTGCTTGACCCCCTCTGCTCGCCCAAATGGAGCAGCCCAGCGTTTGGAGAGGTGTCTGACCCCCTCTGCTCGCCCAAAGTCTCTTGGACAGCAAGAACAACCCATGTCTTCTCGTTATCTTGCTCATTTGAGCTGCCAGGATCAGCGCCAAATTGGGCACTCAGTACCCCCTCTTTACGCGCCTCAGCAACACCCAGCTTGCCTGGACCGAACAAATCAGCGCCTAGTGGCACCTATACAGCTCCCTGGTCTCCTAGATTCACCAGACCAGTGCCCAAAGGGGCGACCAACCCTTCACCATGCTCGCCCAAGCTGCTCGGCTGGTTGACCAACTCTCTCCACTGTTCCACTGTGTGGACAGCACTGCTGGACTGGACTGCACACCCATTTAGACTGTTGCCCAGCTCACCCAGGCTGTCCAGGACACCACTTACTCGTCCGTCATAGGGGCTGCTCGCCTAAAGGCCTGGGCTGCACAAGTGGTGGCCTGGGCAGCTCCCCTGCTGGCCTGCGCGCCCATCGAGCCACTGTCCAGCCCACCTCCCTGACTTTTGGCTTCTCCTTCTTCGTTGAGCAATGCTTGAGCCTCCTTATCTCCAATTTCTCCTTCGATCTCCGCCATTCCAATGGAGTTTTGCATATCTCCCTCCTCAATCGACATTGCCCACTTAGATACACCACTAAAAAAAAGAAATCTCTCTCTCTCTCTCTCTCTCTCTCTCTCTCACACACACACACACACACATATATATATATATATATATATCTTCTTGGAAAGATTCAAGGAGAGTACCCTCCGTCACCCTCTCAAGTTTCTATGGAATGGGTAACACTTGGGTTCTCAAGGTTTTCAATCTTAAGATGAAGGAAATGGGTGGAATAAAGAAGGAAGCTATTATTTATAACCTAGGGTTTTCAAATAGGGAAAAATCCAAATTGAAAATTAAGAGCTCCCTTAAAACCAAGCAAAAATGGAAAAGACCTAAGGAGTTCAGTAAGGCAAAATGCATCAGGAAAGGAGAATGAGCCTTGATATCTGATTCAGAAAACCGTTTAAGGTCCAGGTGGAACCCCGTGACCTGTTCGGGCAGGTCGATCCTCGAGTGGAAACGCAACATGGATATAGTGGGAGAGGAGTCTTCATAAGTCAGAATTCAAACTCAAGCAAATGCCCCCTTCTCCAAGTTTCCTTAGAAACGGAGCATTGAGGGGCAAATGATGGGCCAAATCTAAGAAGCCCAAATCCATGTTGAAAGCCCAATCATGATCGAGGGCTCAAAATTATGAAGACCCAGCAAGCCCAATGAGGTCCAAGCCCAGTCAAACTCATCAGCTTTACTACATCATCAAGAGAGCCCAGGAGTCTCACCTTCATCGCCTTGGAAATAGTCAAATCTCACCTCATCCTTTGACCGAGTCTCATGGAGAGCACTGCAACCACTTCGCTTGTTGAGGAGAAGTCGTGAACTCCACCAGAATGGTTACTTAGTTGCTATTAAGTCGCCTCAATCTGTTAGGGGGCGACTATAAATTGTAAGCCCCACCAACACCTGGGGGGCATCACATTCAACTGAGCACAACTCTCATCTTCCTTTCAAAGCTAGTACTCTCTGCTCTTAAAGTACTCTTGAGTTAATAAAGTACTCGGCCACCCTAGCCATTCAGAAGTAGACGTAGGTCACATTGACTGAACCACTATAATTCTTGTCTTCTCTCTTTACTGATTAATTACTGTATTTATTTATTCCTACTCGACAGGTGGTGCGCAAACCTAATTTGTGCATCATCAATACACAAAAGTGAATTTATACACAATTAACAGTCGAGGGTATGATGCAGAGTAATTAATTAGATTGAGTCAACACAGACAACAAGCAAATGTATAGTGGTTTGATCAAGATAACCTACTCCACTTTAAAGACGAAAACGGTGGTCGGAGAATTTTATTAATAAAGTAACAGGTGTGTGAGAGAGAAATCAAAAATAAGCTCTAAAAGAGGTTGGGTATCTATGAGGGAGGTAGCCTTGTGAAGAGTGTGTAGAGAGATGCCCCTCTTGTGTGGAGATGACTTACAATTTATAGGCACAGAGTTTTGGTTAAGGCGGTAGCGTGATGTGTAGGTTACTAGTTTTTCGGAGAGGATAACTACAACTAAGATAGGTACAATTAAAAATAATCTTGACATTTGACAGTGATTATTTCGGTAATTATTCCCCACGTGCGCTAATATTCTTAAATTCCTTGAACTTTGGACTGTGCCAAATTCATGAGCTGGGCTTGACCTATCTTTTAGCTAATTTGGGCTTACTAAATTATTTGGGTCTGACCTAGTTGGATCTGGGCTCATCAATCGATACCGTCGATTACTAATTTATATAGTAAAATTATAATTTTAAAAAGAGAAGATATAATTGTTCAAGGGATGTCATAATCGATCACAAACATCTATGATCAATTATTAAAAAGGTAATATCGATCCTTTGTATTTTATGATTAACTATATCCTTTAATGTTGTAATTTACATCTTAAAAAAATTATAAATTAACTTTAGAAAATTGTCATACTTGACGATGTCGTAGAAGTTTGCTAATAGAAAAAGAAGGGTCCGACTACGATACCGACCACCCACTCAGGGCCGGCCCAACCTCATTGTAGAAAAAGCTTGGGCTTTAGGCCCCATAATTTGAGAAGGCCCCACAATTTGAGTTATATAATTAACCCACATTAAAATTTTAACTTTACAAAATTTTTAAGTCCTATAAAAAGGCCTCAAAAAATTTAAGTTCATTAAAAAATTTTAGTGAAAATTGAAAGTGAGTCCTCATAGATGTACTTGTTTGAAGATAAGTCCTACAAGAAAACTTATAAGAGGTTAAGTTCATGTTTAAAATTATATGTAATGACTTAAGTCCATTTTTTTTTTATCTCAAAAATACCCTTCCTTGAAATGAAGTTAATATTTTCTCTCTCATATCTATTTATATATATATATAAGTTAAGAGTTTGACTAAAATTAAAATTTTTCATCTCTCTTATCTATCTATATCCATATATAGGTTAGGTGTATATATATAATAACATTCAAATACAAAAAAAAAAGTTACTAAAAATTTGAATAGTAAAATTCAAATTCATGTTACTATTTTTTTTTATATTACTGTTTTTTTTGAATATGTTACTATTCATGTACTATTATTTTTTAGCATGTTACTATTTTTGTTGACCATGTAACTACTATTATTTTCCTAAATATTAATATTCAATGTTATTTTTCTTTTTTTGAATATTACTAGTTTTTGTATTTGAATGGTACTATTTTTTGCCTTTGAATTTGAGAGAAATAATTATTGTTAAATATGCTACAGTTTTTGTAAAGTATGTTACTATTTTTGTTGAACATATTATTGTTGTTATTTTTTAAAATATTAATATTGAATGTTTCAATTTTTTTTATGTTTAAATGTTACTATTTTTTTATATTTAAATGTATTATTTTTTGTATTCAAATGATAACTTTTTTTGTATTTGAATGTTATTATTTTTATTTTTAATGTTACTATATATATACATATATATAACCTATATATAGATAGATAAGAGAGAAGAAAAATTTTAATGTTAGTCAAATTTTTAACATATATATGGATATAGATAGATGTGAGAGAGAAAAGATTTTAATGTTAATCAAACTTCTAAGATTTAGGAGTTTTTAATTTTTAGTTTTATTTCACTTCTAAAGATAAAGAATAGTATGGTAAAATTGATAAAAAGCAGACTTCATAACAAATAAGTTTATTTGACGGACTTAAGTCCATATAGAGGGACCGGCCTCTAAATTTTTCAAATTTTTAATTTCAATAATTTGGGCTCATAATTCAACCTACAATATTACAAAATCAAAAATCAAAAGTTACAAAAAAAAACTAGATATATAAAAAATTTACTCTAAAGTCAAGTTATATTTATCTCACATTTACTCTATTCTGGTAAAAAACCAAAAGTAAAAGTTAAAACATCTCTATTGATAACACTAATTCTTCCTCTATCACACACACATATAATAAATAAAAAAATAAATTAATTTTTAATAAAAAATTAATATTAAAAATAAAATATTCCATTCGATATTATCGCTTTAGGCCTCAAAATGTTTTGAGCCACCCCTGCACCCACTTTTCGGTATGGTATATAAAAAATAAAATCAACGATAAATGTATAATAAACAACTTCCAACCGTTGATCAAGTCAATCACTTTTTACCGACTATTTACTGAGCCTTACAAATTCAAAAGAAAAAAAACTCAGACAAAGAAGAAGAAGAAGAAGATGGAGTTGCAGAATTGTTTTTATCCCTATAAATCCTTCAAGAGATTATAAACTCATCATCATTTATTAAAACTAAGGTTGACATTATAGTAAACTTATATTTAATAAAAAATAAATACACTTAAAACCATTTTTAGAATAAAATTAGAGCAGTAAAGTTCCACAGAATTAGGGTTTGGCTAGTAAGAATATTATGCAAGGTTATCACTTTTTCGATAAGATGACCACTTTTTTGAGGCAAGATTATAACTGTTTTTGGGTAAGATTACCAAAGTGAAAGATTACCGCTATTGAGGGTAAGATTACACTTTTGACGTAAGAGTACCACTTTTTTGTTAAAAATTTATATTTTTTTATTTGTTAAAATTCGATTTAAGTTGATTAAAATTTATTTTTTACATGTTAAATTTGAGTTGATTAAAATTTATATTTTTTTTGTATCAAAATTCAGGTTGATTAAAATTTAATGTGAGTTGATTAAAATTTGATTTGAGTCTCAAATATAATTTTAATTAGCTCAAATTTTAGTACGTAAAAAAATATAATTTTTAATCTACTCAAATTTTAATAGATAGAAAATAAATATTAATTAATCCGAATCGAATTTTAATCATCTCGAATTTTAATATATAAAAATATTTAAAAAATAGAGGGGATTTCATTAAAGATATGCCCATTTAGTGGGGGTGTAGACGAAATTTTCCTTAAAATATATTATAAACAATTTAATAAATTTGCATTATAATTAATACTTTTAATCTAATAAAGGGTGTCAATAATGATTGAGAAAATAGAGAGAGTCTTATTAAAGATATAATAAACTAGAAAAAATATGATTAAAAATTTTGCTAAATATTAAGACTTATAGTAAAATTAATAATAATAATTAATCAATTTAACATTTTAAATTGACGCAACATTGTTAAAAAAAAAAAAAAAAATCTCCTTGTACTGTTAATAATAATGCTTAATCAAGTCACGTGGCATAGTCTTTAATCCTTGTAGTGTTTGACTTATGTACTGTCCAATCAAAATACTCCTTTTCATTCTTGACTTCGACTCTTTTTACAATCCCGTGTGTACGCGTGCCACGTATACTGCCCAGTGCTTTATAAAAGTTCACCCCCTGCTCTGCGAGGCCCGTCGTCGAATGCCACACTCCTCCTATCACTTGTTCATGGTTTTGCTTTTGATTCTTTTTAATTTGAATCTTTCTCGAATAGAATACCATTTTTTTTTTTATTTCATTTCTGCCGAAGTTCGAAAAATATAAAAGATTTGTCTTTTTAGCTTCCCCAAAAGATCCCTGAAAAATGCAGAAATCCTATAAGAACCCTCAACCAGGAAAATTTTTAAGCAAAGAGGAACAACACGTCATCATGGTCGATGCTCTCAAGCAAGTAATATCCGGCGGCGATGATGGTGGATACACCACCACTGAAGGGGCCCAACAACTCCTACAAACCACCCAGAATGCCATGTCATCATCACCATTAATTCCAACAAGAGGGACCACCCCTAGTAGTGCTTGTGCTAGTAGTAGCACAAGAAAGGAAGGGAAGAGAAAGAGAAAGAAGAACAAGAAGTACAGGGGAATTCGACAGAGGCAGGGAGGTAAGTGGGCTGCGGAGATTTGGGACCAGGGCCCGGTGCCGGTGTGGATTGGCACGTTCCAGACGGAGGAGGAAGCCGCCAGAGCTTATGACTTGAAGGCCGTGGAGTTCCGCGGGGAGAGAGCCAGGACCAACTTTCCGTTGTCGGACTACCTAGAATTGCCAAGCACCACTCAGCAGACAGACAATCCAGAAAGCAACCCCAATTAGATCACAGAGAATCAAGAACGCGAACCCAGTGGAATAGAGTTCTGGGACAGATTAGAACTGGAAGATTTATACTCGAGTCCAGAAGTCGATGATGATTATGATAATTCCAATGACCCTAACGTTCAGGATTGAGAAAATATTATGGAAAATACCAACGTAATGAAAGATCTAATTTAAGGTACTCACTGGGTTCAGTATACTATGAAAGATTGAGGTCTTATTACAATAAGTACGTGAGCTTGTTATATTATATACGTGATCATGTATTTGGAATTATTTTAAGCACGTGTTATCCCATTTGTTTGATTAGTATTTGGAAATATTTTAAGCAAATTTGTTTTCCCATTTGCTTGGGTGAAATCAGGGCCGGCCCAATCTCATTGTAGAAAAAGCTTGGGCATTAGGCCTATAATTTGAGAAAGTCCCACAATTTAAATTATATAATTAATTCACATTAGAAATTTAATTTTACAAAAATTTTAAGTCTAATAAAAAGGCCTCAAAAAATTTAAGTTCAATAAAAAATTTTTGTGAAAATCGAAAGTGAGTCCTCCTAGATATAATTGTTTGAAGATAAGTCCTACAAGGAAACTTATAAGGGGTTAAGTTCATGTTTAAAATTATATGTAATGATTTAAGTCCATTTTTTTTTATCTCAAAAATACTCTTCCTTGAAAGAAAGTTAATCTTTTCTCTCTCATATCTATTTATATCTATATATAAGTTAAAAGTTTGACTAACATTAAAAATTTTCATCTCTCTTATCTATTTATATTCATATATAGGTTAGGTGTATATATATAGTAACATTAAAAAAAATAGTAACATTTAAATACAAAAATAAAAGTTACTAAGAATTTGAATAGTAAAATTCAAATTCATGTTACTATTTTTTTTTATGTTACTATTTTTGTTGAGTATGTTACTATTCATGTACTATTATTTTTGAGCATGTTACTATTTTTGTTGACCATGTTACTACTATTATTTTCTAAATATTAATATTCAATGTTATTTTATTTTTTTTTTAAATAATGCTATTTTTTGTATTTGAATGGTACTATTTTTTGTGTTTGCATTTGAGAAAAATAATTATTGTTAAGTATGTTACAGTTTTTGTTAAGTATGTTACTATTTTTGTTGAACATGTTACTGTTGTTATTTTTTAAAAATATAAATATTGAATGTTTTAAATTTTTTTTATGTTTAAATGTTACTATTTTTTTGTGTTTAAATGTATTATTTTTTGTATCCAAATGATAATTTTTTTTGTATTTGAATGTTACTATTTTTTATTTTTAATGTTACTATATATATACATATATATAACCTATATATAAATAGATAAGAGAGAGAAAAAATTTTAATGTTAGTCAAACTCTTAACCTATATATAGATATATGTGAGAGAGAAAATATTTTAAAGTTAGTCAAACTCCTAAGATTTAAGAGTTTTTAATTTTTAGTTTTATTTCACATCTAAAAGTAAAGAATAATATGATAAAATTGATAAAAAAACAGACTTCATAACAAATAAGTTTCTTTAATGGACTTAAGTCCAAACAAGTCCATATAGGGGGACCAGCCTCCAAATTTTTCAAATTTTTAATTTCAATAATTTGAGCTTATGATTCAATCTACAATATTATAAAATCAAAAATCAAAAGTTACAAAAAAAAAACTAAATGTATAAAAAATTTACTCTAAAGTCAAGTTATATTTACCTCACATTTACTCTATTTTGGTAAAAAACAAAAGTAAAAGTTAAAACATCTCTATTGATAAAACTGATTCTTCCTCTAAAACACTCACATATAATAAATAAAAAATAAATTAATTTGTAATAAAATTTTAATATTAAAAATAAAATATTTCATTCGATATTATCGCTTTAGGCCTCAAAATGCTTTGAGCCGCCCCTGCACCCACTTTTCGGTATGGTATATAAAAAATAAAATCAACGATAAATGTATAATAAACAACTTCCAACCGTTGATCAAGTCTATCACTTTTTACCGACTATCTGCTGAGCCTTACAAATTCAAAAGAAAAAAAAACTCAGACGAAAAAGAAAGAGAAAGAAGAAGATGGAGTTGCAAAATTATTTTTATCCCTATGAACCCTTCAAGAGATTATAAACTGATCATCATTTATTAAAACTAAGGTTGACATTATAGTAAGCTTATATTTAATAAAAAATAAATATACTTAAAACCTTTTTTAGAATAAAATTAGAGTAGTAAAATTCCACGGAATTAGGGTTTGGTTAGTAAGAATATTATGCAAAGTTATCACTTTTTCGATAAAGATGACCACTTTTTTGAGGTAAGATTATAACTGTTTTTGGGTAAGATTACCAAAGTGAAAGATTACCCCTATTGAGGGTAAAATTACACTGTTGACGTAAAGAGTATCACTTTTTTTGTTAAAAATTTATATTTTTTTATTTGTTAAAATTCGATTTAAGTTGATTAAAATTTATTTTTTTACATGTTAAAATTTGAGTTGATTAAAATTTATATATTTTTTGTATCAAAATTCAGGTTGATTAAATTTAATGTGAGTTGATTAAAATTTGATTTGAGCCTCAAATAGAATTTTAATTAGCTCAAATTTTAGTACGTAAAAAAATATAATATTTAATCTACTCAAATTTTAATAGATAAAAATAAATATTAATTAATTTGAATCAAATTTTAATATATAAAAATATTTAAAAAATAGAGGGGATTTCATTAAACACATGCCCATTTAGTGGGGGTGTAGATGAAAATTTTCCTATAATATATTATAAACAATTTAATAAAATTGTATTATAATTAATGTTTTTAATCTGATAAGGGATGTCAATAATGATTGAGAAAATAAATAGTGTTATTGAAGATATAATAAGCTAAAAGAAATGTGATTAAAAATTTTGCTAAATATTAAGACTTACAGTTAAATTAATAAAAATAATAATAATAATTAATCAAGTTAACATTTTAAATTGACGCAACATTGTTAAAAAAATAATAATAATCTCCTTGTACTGTTAATAATAATGCTTAATCAAGTCACGTGGCGTAGTCTTTAATCCTTGTACTGTTTGATTTATGTACTGTCCAATCACAATACTCCTTTTGATTCTTGACTTCGACTCTTTTACAATCCCGTGTGTACGCGTGCCACGTAGACTGCTCAGTGCTCTATAAAAGTTCACCCCCTGCTCTGCGAGGCCCGTCGTCGAATGCCACACTCCCCCTATCACTTGTTCATGCTTTTGTTTTTGATTCTTTTTAATTTGAATCTTTCTCGAAAAGAATAGCAATTTTTTTTATTTCATTTCTGCCGAAGTTCGAAAAATATAAAAGATTTGTCTTTTTAGTTTCCCCAAAATATCTCTGAAAAATACAGAAATTCTATCAAAACCCTTAACCAGGAAAATTTCTAAGCGAGGAGGAACAGCACGCCATCATGGTCGATGCTCTCAAGCAAGTAATATCCGGCGGCGATGATGGTGGATACACCACCACTGAAGGGGCTCAACAACTCTTACAAACCACCCAGAATGCCATGTCATTATCACCATTAATTCCAACAAGAGGGACCACCCCTAGTAGTGCTTGTGCTAGTAGTAGCACAAGAAAGGAAGGGAAGAGAAAGAAAAAGAAGAACAAGAAGTACATGGGAATTCGACAGAGGCAGGGGGTAAGTGGGCTGCGGAGATTTGGGACCCACGGCGCGCGATACCGGTGTGGATTGGCACGTTCCAGACGGAGGAGGAAGCCGCCAGAGCTTATGACTTGAAGGCCGTGGAGTTCCGCGGGGAGAGAGCCAGGACCAACTTTCCGTTGTCGGACTACCTAGAATTGCCAAGCACCACTCAGCAGACAAACAATCCAGAAAGCAATCCCAATGAGATCACAGAGAATCAAGAACGCGAATCCAGTGGCATAGAGTTCTAGGACGGATTGGAACTGGAAGATTTATACTCGAGTCCAGAAGTTGATGATGATTATGATAATTCCAATGACCCTAACGTTCAGGATTGAGAAAATATTATGGAAAATATCAACGTAATGAAAGATCTAATTTAAAGTACTCACTGGGTTCAGTATACTATGAAAGATTGAGGTCTTATTACAATAAGTATGTGAGCTTGTTATATTACGTAAGTGATCATGTGTTTGGAATTATTTTAAGCACGTGTTGTCCCATTTGTTTCATTAGTATTTGGAAATATTTTAAGTAAATTTGTTTTCCATTTGCTTGGGTGCAATGAATACTATGCTTGGGTGATCCACAATCAGCATGTTGAGCAGTACTTCCCACCTGCCATGTTCATTTCTGACGAGTCATTCCTGCTACGTTTTGGACACTAGCAATGCTATAAATACTTTATTTGCGGATTTTATTTAAAGATTTAATGATGTAACTTCAAAATAGGAATGAAACACTCCAGATCGAGTACAAGAACTATACCCCCCGCAAGCCCCAACCCTCTTCGTCGTATGGAGTCCCACCTAGTGTGACTCGTCCATCTGAGGAATTCGTTGGCGGTGGTGGTGTTTATGGGTATGAGAAGCCTCAAGCTTTTGACCCACTCATGTGCTTTTGAAAAAAAATTCCCAAATAAGGGTTTGGTTGAAAATAATTCTTAAACTCACGCAGCTTTAAAAACGCAAGTTAATCTGACGATTTTAGGTTTAAAGACGTCAATTAGTCTGACATTATTTTACCTAAAAACGTCAGATCAACTAACTTTTTCAATTAAGATTGTGGGTAGTATTGGAAGCATAAAAATATCCGTTGGTGTGACATTTTTTAACTAACAACATCAGACCAACTAACGCTTTTAAAATAAGACTCTGGCTAGTAGAAGAAGCTTAAAAACTGACATGTTTTTATTAAGACCTGTTGACTGTTACATGGATTGGTTGAAACATATTGGTTGGGTCAGCAGACTTCTTAGTGATAGTTTTTCTCACTCCTTTTTTATCAAAAATGTTTAATGTTTATTTATTAAAGAAATTAATTATATTTAATAAATAAATTTTGATAATTTAAAAATACATAAATTTGTTTGTCCTATTGACGTTTTTTTCCCTAACAATGATACCTAAAACTGTTTTACTCCCTTTCTATTTTTTTTTTTTAAAAAAAATTAAAATTTTATTTATATACAAAATCAGTGATTACACGAAGCAAATCAGGCATATCAGCTGTAAAACCAAACTCCAAAAGCCATATACAAAAGGTAAGCTGCCTTTTACATCCAATCTCCACGATAAACCCAAATCACAAAAGAGTAAAGAGTAAAATCTTTATGCAAGCAATATAAAACTCCCAATCCTTCGAAGCAAGGACTTAATATGAGTAATCATGCCCATAAAAGGCCAAGCACATTTCATTCTGTCTTGAATAGTATCAACCAACACCTTTGAGTCTGACTCAATGCATATCTCATACCCAAAAAACCCATACCTTTCCACCATACTAAGACTATCCATCAAAGCTCTAATCTCCGCCTCCATATTGGAACAAACACCAAAAAAGAGACCCTGCCAAAACCATACCACCCTACTCATTCCTTAGAATTGCACCACCACCTGCAAACTCAGGATTTCCTTTCGCAGCACCATCAACATTCAATTTAAATTTCTCAGACTCAGGATAAATCCAACATACCCACCAACTTCTAATGCTCACAACGAAAGGTGTCACAATACCTAATGGCTGTAGCATAATCCTTCCCACTTCATCCTCACATACCTGAGCTTTCACATTCCTCAATTGAAATCTTAGCAAACTGCATATCTTTAAGAAAACAGTATAGGAATTTATCCTCACAGCCCTTCTGCGACACCTCTCTTTCCAAATTTGCCAGAAAATCAACAAAGGCACACTTCTGACAATACTATGACTAACCCTCTTCTTTCTAAAAATTCTACAAATCCCCTGCCACCCAGGGAGCTAAAGACAATTTGAGGACTAAAGCGATACTTCTAAATGAGGCCTTCTATATTTAGTATTAATATTTTTTATTTAAAATTAATTTTTCTTGCTTCTTGAGTTGCAAAAGTATTAATTAAAATTTTATATTCAAGTTTTACTACCATATCTTTTTCAATTGATAGTATCGCTAATCCAATTAATTTTTCTTGTGACATAGTCGATCTTAAGTAAGATTTTATCAATTTTAATTTTAAAAATCTTCTTTCCGCAGAAGCAACTGTTGCAGGAATTGTTAATAATATTTTATAAGCAATGCATGCATTTGAAAAAGAATCTAACTTTTTATATAATTTAGTATCTCAATTGGAGTATTTTCTTTCGTTTGTAAAATTTCTTTTAAAACATTTAATTCTAAAAATAAATCTAAGCCATCAAAATCAAAAAAATATTTTGTGTTTTAAGAAACATTCGAGATCCAAACAATATTGTTTTAAACTATCATTGATCAATGATTTTAATTTTTCTAAGTTAAATAAAAAACTAAAAATATTTTCGTACTTTTGTAATTGTTCAAATCCATTTTTTAGTGAAGAAATAGTTTGATCAATTATATATGTAAAATAATCAATTATAAAAGATTCTTCGATAGATTGTGTTACCGAGTCAGTCACCTAAGTGATTTGTGACAACGAGTTCTCTGCTGTAGCACTTGGTAAAAAAAAAATGATATGTGAGTAATGAGTTCTGTGAGCTCTCAAGTCTTGAGAGCAATGTGAGAGAGAGAGAGAGAGAGAGAGAGAGAGGAAAAAAGAAGAGTTTAATTTTTTGTTTCAATTTAATGAGAAAGAGAGAAAGAAAAAAAATTGTTTTTGTATAGTTGGTTTGGATAGAGAGAGAGAGAGAGATTGAGTGTTAAAAAGAAGATATGATTTGACTTTTAGATTATTTTGGTGGTTTTGATATGACTTTTCAGTTTTTTTTTTATATTGTTAATTTTTTTTAGATATTTAATGTTTGAATTGAATTATGGGCCTAAAATAATTGATTGAGCTTATATTTTTATAAGACTTTTTTTTACATAAGTTATTTACGATGTTTAAAAATTCGGGACCTTCTTTTGAAATGAGGTCTAAAGCCCAGGCTTTTTTACGCCTACTGTTGGGCCCTGCCACCTAACCAGAGGACTTTCTGCTTCAATGATCTGAAAACCAATAATAGCCGCAAATCTGCTCCAAATAGAACCAGCATATGGACAGTTAAATAACACATGAACAGTATTTTATATCTCCTTAAGACACAAACCACACCTGCTTGCTAACGGAATACCAACCTGCTGAATTCTGGAATCAAAAGATAGAGCATTACGAAGCAGTTTCAAGGCTACCAACTGGGCACTAGGAGCTGTGGGCACTTTCCAAATAACTTCAGCAACCCTGCTCCTCTCTCCCCTCTTCCTTATCAGATGCCATGCAGCTTTAACTGAAAAGACTCTATCCCTAGAATTTTGTCATATCAGACTATCAGCACAATGAGTCAACAAAATACCAGCAGACAGAATTTCATTCTTCACCTGTTCAGTCACCAACTCCCCTGCTACACTTGAATTTCAATAATAAATATTTTCATAGAATTTCAATATTTCAATAATTTCATATAATGCGATTGTTTTTCAATCAATAAATAAAGAGGTCTCACCGGATGTGGTGGAGGCGCTGCCAGCGGTGCAATGGAGGAACAGTAGTGCAAAATGGGGGATTTTGGTGCTAGGGTTGGGCCTTTCAGATGGTGGGTAGTGCTGGGTGGTGATGGGGCGGGCTTTGATGGTGGTGGTGCTTGGATTTGGGGCTTCGACGGTTGGGTGGTGCTGCGTGGTGGTGTTGCGATGGTGGTGCTGCGATGATCGATGGTGATGATGGTGCAGATGGTGAGATTTCGATTTAGGGCTCAGATGGGGGGAGAAGGGAAATAAGAGAAATGAATGGAGAGAGATGAGAAAAATCGGGGTCTAGGTCCAATTTAAAAATGTTAGTACAACTGACATTTTTAATTAAAATGTCAATTACACTGACGTTTTAAAGGCTCTTGAAAAGGCACTGTTCAAACTTAAAAACGTCAGTCTGATGATTTTACACAAAAACGTCAGACCAAGTCCAAAAACGTCAGACTAATTGACGTTTTTAAAACTTATTGGGGTTGAAAATTATTTTCAAACCAACCCTTATTTGAGAATTTTTTTTCAAAAGCGGGATGGGTCAAAAGCTCAAGGCAGAGCTATGGGAGGTCTGAGGAGGGGCAAGAGTACAGGAAGCCTAGTTATGAGAGGCCTGATGATAAGTATGAAGGGTATGGTCGCAAGAAATATGGAGAAGAAGAAGAAGAAGAAGAAGAGGAGGAGGAGGAGGAGGAGGAGGAGGAGGAGAAACACCGTAAGCATCACCACCACCACCGCAAGCACTATGTGATGAATAAGCAATGCTCTGGCTGCCTTCTATGCAGGATTCATGCCATAATCTAAATAAGGGAGAGGCATGATTTCCTTTTACTCCAATGATTATTCTTATTCCTTTGAACATGTCCAACAAAAAATATCTAAAAATATGTGGCTTATATTAAAGTCATGTGGAAGTGTGTTTGCTTTGTGAGTTAAGTCTAAAAAAAAAATGATATGGCTTCAATATAATTATTCGATTAGTTGTGAGTTTTAATGTTAGATGAAATTCACAATCAATTCAATGGTTGTACTTTATTAAGTCTGTAAATAAGGTTCTCAAATAATGTTCAATTAACATTTTCCTTTGAACGCTCATCAGTATTTGAGTTTTTTTCGTCCCATAGTTGGAAAAGATGGGTGTTTTAAAGTTTGAACGGACTTAAGAGTTCAAAACATTATGACTTTACCTATTCAAATAGACGTAAGATTTTAAAATTGTGATTGTTTAAATGATTGAAATAAAGTATAAAATTATCTCTAAATTCTTTTTTACGTCTTAGAGATCAAGGACTTAAAACTATTAGTTAAAAATGAGGTCAACAAACTGGCAAGTAAAAAAGAACGAACATAATTGGAGCGAACAATAATGTAAATAATAAAAGTATAAACTAAATGGTGCAGAGAAAACTCTAGCATGCTCTATGTAAAAGTGTTGATGGTGGATCGCTTCTCTGTTGTCTGGTCTTCTATATTTATAAACGTTGACATCTATCTTTGGTATCAATTTTTCTGACCATTAAGCAGGGTTAGACTGCTGTACCGAAATTCACTTTTCGGTATGGTACCCAAAAAAAAAATTAACGATTCATTGATGAAGAACTTTAACCGTTGATCAAGCTTATAACTTTTTACCGGCTACCAAGCCTTACAAATTTATAAAAAAAAAAAATTCAAATGAAGAAGATGGTCTTTTCATTAAAAAAAAAATCACTCAAACAGGAAAAAAGAAGGAGAAAGATCAATGGAGTTCCATAATTGTTTTTATCACTATGAGATTATAAAATCATCATCATCATTTATTAAAACTAAGATTGAGACTATAGTAAATTTATAAAATAAAAATAAAAAACTTAGACGACGAAGAAGATGGAGTTGCAGAATTATTTTTATCCCTAAATAAAGAGATTTTAAATCATCATCATTTATTAAAACTAAAATTGAGATTATTGTAAATTCATAAAAAAAAAAAAAACTCAAACGACGAAGAAGAAGCATAAAGAAGAAGATGGAGTTGCAAAATTATTTTTATCCAGAGATTTTAAACCATCATCATTTATTAAACTAATGTTTTTATTAAACTAAAGTTGAGATTATAATAACCTTATATTTAAAAAAAATAAATACACATTTTTTGTTAACATTGTCACTTTTTTTATTAAAATTACTATTTTTTTTGTTTTGGTTAAGTATATAACTTTTTTATTAACATTAGAATTTTTTTGGTTAATATTATCATTTTTTTTGTTAGCATTACCACTGTTTTAGTTAAGAGTACCACTTCTTTTGTTAACATTACCACTATTTTGGTTGAGAGTATCACTTTTTTTTTTTTACCATTACCACTTTTTAAGTTAAAATTATCACTTTTCTAGTTAAGAGTACCATTTTTTTTGTTAATATTACCACTGTTTTAATTAAGAGTACCATTTTTTTTGTTAACATTACCACTATTTTGGTTAATAGTATCACTTTTTTGATTAACATTACCACCGATTTGGTTAAGAGTACCACTGTTTTAGATAATATTACCACTTTTTGGTTAAAATTATCACTATTTTAGTTAAGAGTACCACTATTTTGGATAACATTATTATTGTTTTGATTAATAGTACTATTTTTTTGGCTAACATTACCACTATTTTAGTTAATATTAACATTTTTTTGGTTTAACATTACCACTATTTTGGTTAAGAATATCACTGTTTTGGATAATATTACTACTTTTTTGGTTAAGATTACCACTCCTTTGGTTAACATAACAACTGTTTTGGTTAAGAGTACTACTTTTTTTTTTTAACATTACCACTGTTTTGGTTAAGATTATCACTCCTTTGGTTAACATTTTCACTGTTTTGGTTAAAAGTATCACTCATTTGGTTAACATTACCATTGATTAGGTTAATATTACCACTTTGTTGGTTAAATGTACATCTTTTTTATTAACATTACATGTTTTTTTGGTAAATATTACCATTTATTAGGTTAACATTACCACTCTTTTGGTTAAAATTACACTTTTTTTTGTTAAGGTACCACTTATTTGGTTAAAATTATAATTCTATTGATTAAGATTACCACTGTTTTAGTAAACATTACCACTATTTTGGTTAATACTACCACTAATTTGGATAATGTTACAACTTTTTTGGTTAACATTACCGTTGTTTAGTTTAAAAGTACCATTTTTTGGGTTAAGATTACAATTTTTTTGTCAAGAGTACCATTTTTTTGGTTAACATTACCATTGTTTTGATTTAGAGTACCATTTTTTTTTTGTTAACATCACAATTATTTGGTTAGGAGTGTCATTTTTATGGTTAACATTACCACTGTTAATGTTAAAATTACAACTTTTTTGGTGAAGATTAGTTAAGAATACCACTGATTTGGATAATATTACCACTTATTTGGTTAACATTATCGTTGTTTAGTTTAAGAATACCACTTTTTTTTGTTAAGATTACTATTTTTTTGGTTAAGAGTATCACTTCTTGGGTTAATATAATGACCGAACATATTAGCGATCAAGAGATTAAGTAGCGATCAAGTGTTTGCCATCAAAAGCGATCTCGGTAGCGATCATGGGATGAAGTTGCGATTGCGATCAAGAGCGATCAAGGTAGCAATCATGAGATGAAGTTGTGATCAAGTAGCGATCAGTAGCAATCAAGGATCCAACAACAATTAAAGTAGCGATTAAGTAGCATTCAAGGGATCAAGATTTATAAAAAGAAAAAGAAAAATTAACCAATTTTTATAAAAATAAAAATAAAAATATATTTAATTTATAAAAATTAAAATTTTTTTATAATTTTTTACAAATTATAAATTAAAAATAAAAATAAAAATAAAATTTTTTATTTCATCCAATTTATATTAATTTATAAAAATTAAAATTTTAAAAATAAAATAAAAAAAATATTTAATTTATCAAATCAACTTCCATCTACCATTCAACTGATCAAATTAGATTAACAATCATATCTATCCAATTAATACTTAATTCAACAAATTAACATCTCAAATAATCATCAATTAATCAAATTCGTTCAATTAATCAAATTAACATATAGATAAAACTATTTAAAAAATATTCAATTTATCAAATCAATTTTTTTAAAAAAACAATTAGGCATTAGGCGAATAACATACCGACAGATGGATAAATGAAATTTTGACACGATACTAACCCAATTCCCGCCTAAATCCATTTCTGTAAATAAATTAGTTAATAAATTACACTTAGACCCTAAATTAAAATTCAATTCATCAAATTAACACCAGATTAACAATCAATTCTATGTAATTAACATTTAATTCATTAAATTAATATTCAATTCATCAAATTAACATTCAATTTTTTTAATAAACATTTAATTCACTAAATTAATATTCAAATTCAACAAGTTAACATTAAATTAATCAAATAAACTTTCAATTTCATTCAATTAGCACTCAATTCATCAAATTAACATTCAAATTATCAAATTAAAAATCAAATTTATCAAATTGACATTCAATTACAACAAATTAACAAGTAATCAACACCAAATTAATATATAATTTTTTAAAATTAAAATTTAATTTATCAAATTAATACCAAATTAAAATTAAATTCATCAAATTAACACCAAATTAATAATCAATTTTGTTTAATTAACATTCAATTTTTTCTAATAAGCATTTAATTCACTAAATTAATATTCAAATTCAACTAGTTAACATTAAATTAATCAAATAAACTTTCAATTTCATTCAATTAACACTCAATTCATCAAATTAACATTCAAATTCTCAAATTAACATTCAGATTTATGAAATTGACATTCAATTTCATTAAATTAACATATAATTTCATAAAATCAACACCAAATTAACATGTAATTTCTTCCAATTCAAATTTAATTTATCAAATTAACATTGAATTCATCAAATTAATATTCAATTTATTAAATTAACACAAAATTCACACTTAATTTCATCAAATGAACTTTCAATTTTTTCTAAGGAGCATTTGATTCACTAAATTAACATTCAAATTCAACTAGTTAACATTAAATTAATTAAATAAACTTTCAATTTCATTCAATTAACAATCAATTTATCAAATTAATATTCAAATTATCAAATTAACATTGGAATTTATCAAATTGACATTCAATTTCGTCAAATTAACATGTAATTTCATTAAATCAACACCAAATGAACATATAATTTTATAAAATTAAAATTTAATTTATCAAATAACACCAAATTAACAATTAATTTCATGTAATTAACAATAAATTTTTTCTGATAAACATTTCATTCATTAAATTAACATCTAAATTCAACTAGTTAACTTTAAATTAATAAAATAAACTTTCAATTTTATTCAATTAACACTCAATTCAACAAATTAACATTCAAATTATCAAATTAATATTAAGATTGATCAAATTGACAATTAATTTCATCAAATTAACATGTAATTTCATAAAATCAACACCAAATTAACATATATTTTTATCCAATTAAAATTTAATTTATAAAATAAACACCAAATTAGCATTCAATTCATCAAATTAACAATCAATTTCATCTAATTAACGTTGAATTTTTTCTGATAAGAATTTAATTCACTAAATTAACATTTAAATTCAACTAGTTAACATTAAATTAAATATATAAACTTTCAATTTCTTTCAACTAACACTCAATTCATCAAATTAACTTTCAAATTATCAAATTAACACTCAGATTTATCAAATTTACATGTAATTTTATCAAAGCAACATCATATTAACATGTAATTTCATCCAATT